CCCCACCCCCACACACAAAATCAAAATTAAATGGAAACGGAAAAAGAAAAAGAAAGTAATTTCTTGGCTTCACCTTCGTATCATTGTTTTTCATGTAATTGTGTAGAATTCAATCAGTTACATCGCTTTTGGTAAATTCCGGATAATGGGGCAATCATCTATAGTACTTTGGTACATCAATGGGGGTTCTCTTTTTCATGATTCCACGGCGATTCAACTCTCTATTACGGCAGATTTAGACGAAGATATGACAGGAACTATATCTACTACTACCTCTGTTCTAGTTTATGTGATCTATTTCCTTTTTGGTTCGTTCCAAAAAGAATAATTCCTTTCTAAATTTAGAAACAATTTTGCTTGAACTTACAATTGTACTCTTAATGAGAAACTTTTATAACCACACAAATACTCTAGGCCCTTTTTGAATTGTTTAGGACCACAAATTTCAAAAATCTTCATTTTTTCTTAAACTCCGTGCCCAGTCAAACATGTTCACATAAATTAGAACGGAGGGAATAAAAAAGAATGAAATATGGGAGTGAAATCAGAAGTTAAATAATTAGTAAAGGAACTTTAAAAGCCGCAATGTTGCACAGGTTCTATTATTTCTTTATTTATACAGACAGAAGGGGTTGTTCAAAGTTAAAACATCAGAAATATTTTGGACTTGCTTTCAACATAAACTGGATTATTTGCTAAATTTTAGTGCGCTTTCTTGAGAATAGAAAAACATTTCAAGCTAAATATTGGGATCCAAAAAATGAATTCTCATCCCTTAAGCTCATATCCGCTCCAATGATGGACAAGTAGATGTATATTCTTTATATTTGCTAGTCATACGAAAATAAAAATAAATCATAATTAATGTCGTAGCAGGAAGATCTAAATCATTCTTAGTATATGTTGACAGGAAAATGTTAGTGAAAACAGCCTTGACTCTAAAATAAAAAAGTAGATTGCACTAGAACAAATTAGAGCTGTAATCTGCATGTCCACTTGGCACCAACCACAGCCTCAAGAAGCTTATCCTCCAATCACAAATGTAATCTTCCAGATATCCACTTTTTTTCCACATACAAATCATCTCTACCAATTCTCCTTCACATATTATCACAAAATAAATCCAAAAACATTCCCACATCACCATTTTAGCAGAAAAAAAATAACAAAGTAAGTTTGAATCCCAAAGAAGAAAAAGAAAAAAAGTGCAATAGCAGCTTTGAGAAAGATAAGTGATCAATGGCTTCCACTCAATGCTTCTTGCACCATCATGCATTGTCAACTCCAGCTAGAACTTCCTTAGTTAGGGGTATTGTTCCATCACTCAAGTCTAACCAATTATTGGTGTGCCGTGCCCAAAACAAACAGTCTGCACCTCAACAAGATAATGTCAACAGTGTCTCTGTCTCTCGTAGATTGGCTCTTACACTCCTCATTGGTGCTGCTGCCGTTGGTTCCAAGGTTTCCCCTGCTGATGCTGCTTATGGAGAAGCTGGTATTCCCCCCTATATCTATACTTAACACTCTCTCAGTTCAATAATTTAACTTTAAACTTTTTATCTCTTCAGTTCCACAAATGCTACGAGCTTTTATACTTTAAGCTTTTCGCCTTTTTTTCTTGTTAAACTCCGTGCCGAGTCAAACTACATCACATAAATTGAAATGGATGAAGTATTTTTATCTGAAAATACATTAACACTTTAAAGAACTTTTACACTATCAATGCAATTTAATCAGGTATAACATGTTATTACTATAATTTTCAAGTTACCATATCAATTTAAGTTATAATACAGTGATAGTGTAAAAATCTTTTACACAGTGCAATTTAATCGGCCATATGTAGTAGATCACTACTTTATTTTGTGTGTTACGTATTATATTTGATCTAGAGATTACATGTTGCGAATCAAATTAACTTGGATAGTGTGAAAATTTTATGTTGTCAATCTATGTTACGCAAACTCTCCAAAATATTACCGCACCCATGCCGGTTTCTAAAAAAATGTACTATTTTGGAGAATCCGATATACATCTGGAGACATTTTCAGAGAGTCCGAGAAATATAGATGTCAATGCACTAAATTTAAACTTTTAATAGAATGCACGATAGTAAAACTATCCCCAGAGGAACGTAATGCCCTACCTCCTCTATTCCTAAAAGTATATCGTTGTTCCTTGTTACATCATCATGTTCTTTGTTAACAGTATATAATTATAAACGAGCGACATTGCAATTATTCAACCCTAATTTATCCCTCTTGTAATTCCTGAGAGATCATTATAAAAGTTCGCCTATATATCTGGGATATATACACCTAATGCTGTTTGGAAATGATATAGAGGTGATTTTGATTGCTCGACCACCTTTGATTATGGGAATTAGGTACAAATCAGAGTTCAAATGTTCCTTGTAATAATTGGAAATGGTTCAGAACTATTGACAAAGTTGAGCGCGGTTATTTAGAAATTAGTTGTGGGTGATAGCATAACTAAGATCATGAAATGAAGTAAATGATGTTGTTGTGATGCAGCAAATGTTTTTGGGAAGCCAAAGACAGACACGGATTTCCAGACATACAACGGGGATGGATTCAAGCTGCAAATTCCATCCAAATGGAACCCAAACAAGGAAGTAGAGTACCCTGGTCAGGTTCTTAGATTTGAAGACAACTTTGATGCCACCAGCAATGTCATTGTCGCTATCACCCCTACTGACAAGAAGTCCATCACTGACTTTGGTTCCCCTGAACAGTTCCTCTCTCAAGTATCTAATTCTCTCTCTTTCTTTCTTTCTTTCTTTCTTTCTTTAGTATGTAGGGTTCCATAACCTAAACTTTACAACAGCTTTCGTAAACGTTTACTTGTATTACATACACAAGTGCTCTTTTAACCACACAATAAGGTCACCTATAATACGGCTCTTCCACTTGAGTTATCTTGCCCCAGGCCCATGTTTTTCCGTAAAAAAATTGCAGCTTAAGGTAACAACTAGTACGGAAAGCAGAGAGTGTTTTAGTTACTTTTCAACTAGGAACTTTTATAGTAAAAATAGTCTCTTTTAATTCCGAGTCAAAATATTCTAATACAAAATAGGGAGGGTATCAAAAGGCGAGAAAAGAAAAAGAAAATTATTCTCCATTGTGCTTGAAACTTGTTTTAGCAAGGCTATCCGCTACCTGGTTGCACTCCCTATATATATGCTTCATAGTAGGTTCACCAAGTCTAGTAATGAGGAATCTCATAAGCAGCGGCGGACCTATGTTGTAAAGAGAGGAGTCACTGGTACCCAAAAGTTCAGCAAATGTTTTATGTATATATTGTATGTCTTCAGAACATATTGATATATTAGTAGTGACAGCCTATGTACGAAGCAGGTTTTAGTTGAACGTAGTACACCCCTAACCTTCAAATCCTAGGTCCGCCTCTGTAGTCATAAAAACAGTATTGTTATGCATTTTTTAGAAACTCAGTATTCCCTTTGTTAAGTATGCATTTTTCTCTTTGATTGACTGGAAAATGCAAGAATTCACTTTGCTCACAACCAATTGAGCGTTGGTTTGGCTTTTCTGTGCAGGTGGACTATCTGCTAGGAAGACAAGCCTACTCTGGCAAAACTGATTCAGAGGTGAGATTTATTTATGTGTACTAAAGTTCTTTTTAGTTCATCATGACGAATGGTTCAACAGGTTTCATGTTGTTTGTAAGGTAGTTTAAACTGAAGAATCTAGTGAAGTTGCTTCTTTTCATATGAGAAACAGTGAAGTTTACTTATACTATCATACTGTTCACAATTGCATATTAGGCTTAAGAAATTGAAGAGGGTTAAATTCAAGCATGACTGCTAAAGGTTTCATATTCTCAACTAGCTTTCATTCTTTTCCAGTTAAAATCAAAGATTAAACAAGATTACTTTGTTCACATTACCATTGTAGCACTAATTAATGAAAGAATAAGGTCCCCTCAACTTACTAATTAGTGCTCGTTTCAACACCCTATTACTTAGCATATGATAGTCCATTCTGAAGTTACACAACAGAAAAAATGCTATAGGACAATTGTACTTTCCATAATAATGTGCTAGAATTATCGGATTTCTAGGCTAAAGCATCAACTGAACTTGTATACGCGAACATTGTGATACAAAAAATGACGTGGGATTTGGCACTGCAGGGTGGATTTGAATCTGATGCAGTGGCTATTGCAAACGTATTGGAGACATCTACTGCAGAAGTGGGAGGGAAACAGTATTACTACTTGTCTATATTGACAAGAACTGCTGATGGAAATGAAGGTGGGAAGCACCAGTTGGTCACAGCCACAGTAAATGATGGCAAACTTTACATTTGCAAAGCACAAGCTGGTGACAAGAGATGGTTCAAAGGAGCTAAAAAGTTTGTGGAGAATACTGCCACTTCTTTCAGTCTTGCTTAAGAATGTAAAGAGTATTTTGAGCTTGGCCAAAAGCATATGGTGCTGAATATGAGTTGTGCAATTGAACTCTTTTTATGCACTCTGCAAAATTTTCAGAGATGTTAATATTGTTGGAGGAAGCTAATGTACTAATTTGATGTTTCCTTGTCGATCACACTTGGTGAACTTTTACAACCATCTCCTACTTCCCCAAAATTTTATAGAATTTTTACCTAGCTATGTTATATTATAAACTTATTTACTCCTATTAGAAAGGTTATTACTTAATTACATTTTGATATAAAAGTTTATCAATTATACATAAATCTATAATGAAGGGTCTATATATATACATAAATCAAATTATTAAAAATCATTTGGGTTATGGTTCAAATCAAATTGTGAATGAAATGAGTCTAAATTGGGTATGGTCCATCTAAGGTTATGTGGCACTATAATTAGATGTTTTAATTAAATTTAATGCCATGTCATATTTTTATAGGATATTTTATAGATTTTGAACTAGAATGACTTTTAAGTTATAAAGGTAAAATTGAGTGACTTTTAAGTGATGTAAAATAGATAAGTGACTTTTGTAAAATAAATGATAAGTTGGATGACCATCAGTGAAATTAACCCGAAAAAAAAAAGATAAAGGAGAGAAAGGAAAAGAAAATGGGGAGAAAGAAAAGAAGAAAAAGAAAAATAAGGAAAGAAAACGGGTATAAAATTTCTCCTCATCAATTTCTCTATCTTTTTTTCACCACTAGCAGTTCCCTCAAAAAAATTCTTTAGTCAGAGTTTATTAGTATATTCACCAATCTCGTCTTCTTTTTAATTACTCACAATTTTATCACTTCTTCCACTTTCATTTTAAACCAATTCACATAGCTTGACATGAGGCAATTCATCAAAGCCAATACAGGTAAGGCTTTAATTTTCATAAAGCAGAAGTCTATTTATTCATTTGAATTTTTATTTGTATTCTTTAACTGTTTAACATTGTGTATTTTCGAGCATAAAAAAGAACAATTACTTGGGAAGCAGTGACAAAGGCGGATTTATGATTTAAATTTTATGGGTTAAATCTTTAAGATTCTTAGTATTAAACCTATTACTCCCTCCGTTTTAATTTAGATGAGATAGTTTGACTCGGCAGGGAGTTTAAGAAAAAGAAGAAGACTTTTAAAACTTGTGGTCTTAAAAGTTTAAGAGGGTAAAAGCTTTGTAGGGTCATGTCATTTGTGTGGTTATAAAAGCTTCTCATTAAGGGTAAAATGAAGAGTTTAAAGTTGAATTATTTCCAAATTTAGAAATGTGTCATTTATTTTGGAACAGACTAAAAAGGAAAGTACCTCATCTAATTTGAAACGGAGAGAGTATATTTTAAAAGTTATGGGTTCAGACTCACTATGCGTTATAATTTCAATAAAATTCTACACTAAATTTATACTCTGCGCCAAAAGTATTAGGTTCATATGAATCTGGTACTATAACACTACGTACGCCTCTGATGAGCGAGTCAACTATCCATGATTTTTTAAAATATTTTCATGCGAGATTAAATATGTTGATACTCGACAATATCAGTAGGTCAACTTTTTTGGACTATTTTCTGTAATTTATATTTGAGTTTGTATTTTCATATTTGACAATTTTTTCTGAAAAATAAATGGTTAGGAAAGCAAGAAAGAAAATAAGAAGGAAAAAAAAAGGAAAGGTAAAAGATGAGAAATAGGTATAGGCATCACGTATATACGTTTAGGTTATTAAGAAAAAGGATCAACTATCTGACAATAAAACCCCAATAAGAAAAAACTAGAAAAAATATAAGATCGATAATAATAAAATTGATTAGAACTTGAACTCTAATACATTTAGATTCGAAGACTAATATAATTTTAATATTCAAATATTAAAAGTCTTTTATTAATCGCGCGAGCGCGAGTAAATTCACTAGTTAATAATAATTGAGTGCCCCTTAATAGTAAGGCATTTAATTGGTAATAACCTATACATACGCCTAGTCGCCTACAGTTACTCATCCTATCCACATCGTTCATATACGTACGCCTAATCGGTTGTTTAAGCAACTCAATCAATTGTTTAAGCAAATATTGAAGTTCTTTAAACAACTCAATCAGTTGTTTAAACCATTATTGAAGTTGCTTAAACAACTCAATCACTTATTTAGATCAATTACTTTTTGACCTCGTCCGTATGTGTTTTCTGCCTATTTTTTTTTTAAACATAAGATATTATTGATGCGCGCTGATTACAGATTAAAAAAGGTAATAAACAGCTGGAAGGAGTCTCGTTCTCAAGAATATATAATATTGTATACAATTAATTTTGATAATTAGCAAAACATAGTTAAATTGGGTAAAATAGTTTGTAATATACATATATGAGAAAAATCCCAAGTTTTATTAAGGTGAAATTATAAAAGGTCTAGATAGGCGGATCTAGGAACTATAATTAGCGAGTGCGGTACTGGTATGTTTTATTATTATACATACATGTAAAACATATATACGTATATATCTTTCTACCAAATCAAGGCATAATTAAGTTGATTTTAATACCATTTTTTGTTTTGTTTTTGAAAGACATGATTATGATAAAAGATGGCAAAAGGCCTTGACAGAAAGCATGACCAACCTGATGAATGTGTGACATTTTTTCGCATCGACATTTGTGAGTCAGATAATTAACGATACTGATGTGAGTTTTAAGCATAAAACAGAAAAGGGAATATTAAAGTCCACATTTTCCCTTAATTAAAATGCTTAACCAGAAACAAAAAATAAAAAAAAACTGAAAGGAATTACAAAGAGGTTCATTATTTTGTGAGTTATATAATCAACACTACTTATGTGAGACTATTGATTACTCTATCCGTATCAAAAAAATTGTTTTAATTTGACTTGGTACAAACTTTAATAAAAAAAGAATTTTTTTAGATATGTGGTCTTAAATAAGTCATATCATTTGTTTTAAGAATATACATGAGCCGGATTGGTTTGATTTTTATCAAAACCAAACCAAACCAACTATATTGATTTGGATTAGTTCGGTTTTGTCGATTTTTTCGGATTTTTGGGATTCTTTGTTACATGAATATTATTTCAATCTTACTTTGTTAAAGTTATAGATAAAGTTTTGATAAACGAATATATGTTTAGTAAAAATTAAAAACGACAAACTTAATTTATTCAAATATTCTTATGGAGAATTTTTTTAGAAACACATGATAGTTATTTTCGTAATCGTCTAACAATAGTTTTTCATTGATGTACGCTTTCAAGGTTAATCGAATTTAATAATTAAACACATAAATCAATATGAAACCTAAATAATGATATGTTTTTTTAATTTTAAAATTACCGATAATACACCATTTCAAATTCGAAAAAGATATAAGAGTTTAATAGATCTTGACATATGAATATGGAAGAACAAAGAAACTGACGCATTTCAATAACATTTGATAAGATAGTAATGATATAAACTATTTGTTAGATAGTTAATATAATTGTAAATAAGTATAGTTCTACATGGAATATGATTAGTGTATGTATTATGTATTATTATAAATAGGGGTTCTTGTATTATTGTTAAACACATCAATAACAATATATTCTTTCACGTGCTTTCTCACATGCTATCAAAGCAAACGTAAGAGAACTATCGTTATGCAGTAACCATCGAGTTTGGGACAATCACAGTGCTTCTTTCCGGTGACTATTTTAGGCTATCTGCATCACTTCCTCTCTAGTGGATTTTTAAATTGATACCATTGTCTTCACGTGCCTCCGTGCGTCGGTAGAACCTATGATTCCTGCGAGAGCGTCTATCCACGCGCCTGTGCGTGCGACGTCTTTCAGCCACTTTTTGGCCCAACTTCTTCAGGACAGTTTTCTCGGGAGGTAATTCCAAAACTACCCATCCGGATTATACAAAATTCTGATAACTTTTTTATTTTCCGACGACTCGTTGTAGATTCCAGTGAGTCAACGACCGTTTCAAATTTTCGCGGCTGCAGTGTCCTTTTCTACTTCTTGACTGTCTTTTTTTTGTGACTTCTTGAGTATTTGATTATTTGGTCCAACAACGTCTTTGGAATTTGATGTATTTGGTTCTAAAAATGCGGGTTCTGAAAATTCAAGCTTCATGATTACTTCGGAGCCCTTAATGGAAAGTTCAAACTATTTAGCTTGGGCTTCCTCTATTGAGATGTGGTGCAAGGGTCAAGGTGCTCAAGACCACTTAACCAAAAAGGCTAGTCAGGAAGATAAAAAGGCCAAAGTACTTTGGGAGAAGATCGATGCTCAATTATGTAGTACCTTGTGACGATCTATTAGTCCCAAGTTGATGCCCTTGTTTCGTCCATTCCACATATGTCATTTAGTTTGGAAAAAGGCTCGTACTTTATACACTAATGACATATATTATTTCTATGATATGATATCGCGGATGACAAACTTGAAAAAATAGGAGTTGGATATATCTACTTACTAGGAATAACTACAGGCAGTCATGAAGGAATTTGAGAAGTTGATGGCAATTTCTGCTAGTATTGAAAAGCAACAAGAGCAACAATAGAAGATATTTCAAGTTCTTACACTCGATGGACTTCCTAATAACCTTAATTCAGTACGTGATCAAATTTTGGCTAGTCCGACTGTCCCTACAGTTGATGAATTATTCTCTCGATTATTTTGCCTTGCTACAGCACCTAGTCACCCAATGATCTCATCACAGGCAGCTAACTTCTCTGTTCTCGCATCCCAGACAGTGAAAATTGGGCATCTCAAACAATGGAGAATAAACGAGGAAGAGGTAGTTTTGGAAGATCTCAACCCAGATGTTCTTATTATAATAAACTTGGACATACTCATGAAGTGTGTTATTCTTTACATGGTCGACCACCCAAAAATGCTCATATTTCTCAGACCAAGACTACATATAACCATGGATTTTTTTTATCTGAAGGAGGATATAATGAGTTCCTTCAATATCGAGCAAGTAAGCAGAGATCTCCACAAGTAGCCTCAGTTGCTCAGACTAATACTTCTGTTACCCGTAATTCTTTTTCTTATGTTTCCCACTCTAGTACTCTTGGATCGTGGGTCATGGACTCATGCACTTCTGATGACATCTCTGATAATATTTCACTTTTGTCGAATATT